TTCCTGCATTGTTGTTAAGATCCTGGTTATGGTGTTAGCATTGTTGACGACGATCAATACATTTATCTATTATAGGAGTTATAATTTAAATTAATAAAATAAAATAACGACGTAGTGATTGTCTACGCTGGTTTGGTTATTGTGTTCAGGCGTCGCGTGTGTTGAATGACAATGGCTCAGGTGTGTGCCTATTTAAGGGAACAATCAGGACGAGTACTTATACGAGTGTTGCAAATTGTGATGAATGCTACTTTCATTGCTATTGGTGGTGCTATTATTATTATTATTATTATTATTATTATTATTATTATTATTATTATTAATTATTATTATTATTGTTCCTGCATTGTTGTTAAGATCCTGGTTTTGGTGTTATCATTGTTGACCACGATTAATACATTTATCTATTATATTTATTGACAGTAGAAACGTACTGATAGATTCGTATAAATACTGAGATTCATGAGTAATGTGTTATTGCCGTTATTGATGTGCGTCGTTATATTTACCATATTAATTTTATTAACTTCCATGGATTATTGTGTTTGATGTGAATTGAGCTTATGGATGTGCGTACAAGTCGAAATGACGCTAATAACGTAAATTTGATGTGTGAAACAAGTAAAGTCCTGAGGATGAAAATATATTGTAGAAGCAGTTGTCCAGATTGCAAATCCGGCGAAACTTATAATAATAGATAATAAAAGCATTTATAATGCACCATATATCCAAAACAATAGGCCTATTGCTCATAGGCGCAGTACATTTTACAATAGTTAAAACGATCTAAAAGATTTAAAACTACGATATTACAATGATCCAATTATAAAACATTTTGAAAATTCTAAATACCCTTTATAATGAAAAACCCCAAAGCTTGTGACAATGATAGTTTACTTCATATTCTTCTCTTTAGTGTAAGATTTATAATGATTGATTAAGTAACTAAGATGCATTTTTTCTTCAGTTTCTATGTAGGCTTACCTTTTATCCAAATCAAGTAACACACAGTGAGCTTTTGCAGAAAATCAGACTAAAGGTTCCCTTATACACTTGCCTAGGACTTATATTCATTTCTTCACTAATTTACATAATCAACTGACAAGAAAACACCATACCTTTATATCTGTATATTTATTCCTGATAGTGCTAGTATGCAACATTATTTTATATAATTAAGTATACTGTAAATATACATTTTTTAAGCACTTGTCAAGTGTGGTTCCAGAGTTTACCCTGACTATCGCACAGATGGGTTCCCATGGAAATTAGAAGAAAGCTAGAATTTCGCTGGAAGACAAATTTTAGAATTTTAGTTTTTGTTTTTATATCATGTTTTGAAATGCAATTTCGTGCATTATGAAACGTCAATTTTTGAAATACACTCTGAATTCATAGTTTTTCCTACTTTACTATGGACAAACAAAGCCATAAAATATCAGTTCAGGCATTCATTTTGTCAGTTGAAAATATAACAAATGAATCATACAAAATAAAAAGAATACAAATAAAATAAAAAAAACATGTAAGAAACATTTACACTAAATAAAAATGGAATGTTTACTGCCTGTTGGATCGCAGTTTTAGTGTTGCAGGGGTTTACAGTATAACCAATCCCTGTGCTTCTGATAGATTTCTTATAAAAATGTAAAATATAAGATATATAAAAGATTTTATATTTAGTACATTC